TGTAATAAACATCTTATGAACATGAGAGTCTCATGCAATTTGGATTTTTATTCTCTAAGAATGTAGCTTTTTTGTTTAGTACTTGTGATATGGCAAATTCTTAAGAGCTTTAGAATAATGTGTGTGGTTTAACTTTTGTGGTAATGTTGCCACATAACCTAATTATTTTACAGAAACTGTTTCACTGTGGGTTAGGGAGGATTTTGTAAACACTTGAAAAATGCCCTGACGAAAATGATCCTGCTTCAGTTAGATTTCAGATGTGTGAAGTGTAACTCAAATAGTTAATTACTTAAGTACTGAGTAAGCTTATGACTATTAGGTAGTGCTGATTAACTGTAATGTGAATACATCAGTTATTCCCAAAATGCAGCTTGTGGGCCTGTTAAAACTATTTAATTTTGTAAATCCACGAAGGGGTTAACTTGCAGGGTTTGTTTTAAAGTAGGTAGAGGCATTACACCTATAGTTTTGTTGTGTGAGCCTGCAGCTGCTGAGTGGCTGCTGAGAAAACCCTTAGGAGTCCCCCTGACGAGACTTTTCAGAAATGGATTCTCTAGAGACTTATGTTTTGTTACTTGTGAATCAGGTGAGTTCCCTTGCATATATATCTATATATATCTTGCTCCCTGGTTTCAGGATTCTCTGCAACTGTGGTGTTTTGTTTTGTTGTTGTTTGTTTTTTTTTTTTTTTTTTTTTTTTTTTTTTTTTTTGTTTTTTTTTTTTTTTTTTTTTTTTTTTTTGTTTGTTTGTTTGTTTTTTGTTTTGTTTTTTTAGAAAGGGGCAAATAAAATTAAAGTACTAAAAGTTTGAGTTTGGTAACATGGGACTTTTTAGTTCAAGCTCCAGTTAGTTGTCTGTAATACTTTTTTTTTTTTTCCTGTCGACTCATTTTCTGTTAGCTATTCCAGGTCTAGCTGTGTCACTTACTAGGTATTTACATCCTAGTGGTATTTGAATAGTTGCCCTGTTGTATCCTTAAACTTAATTTCAGATTTGGCTATATGTTCCCTCAGAGCCTGAAATGAATATCCCCCTTCTCCCATTTCCTTCCCCTGCCAGTCACTTGACCTTTTGTTTTGGCTGCCATCTGTCACACTGGTCACTGTCTTCACTGCAAAGCTCGTCCAGGTTAGCAGAGCCATTGTGTGCCATTTAAGACAGTTACAGTTCTGTAAGTACATCTGGGCTGCTACAGAGGGCCATATTTTTGGCCCTTGACTGTCGGTTTGTCAGCTGTTCCAGTTTATTATGCTTCAAGTTTTTGGGTATTGAAGTCATTCAGCTTCTGCCGCTGGACATGTGTTTGTCCTTCACTCAGTGTAGCTGTTGGCATTCATGCTGTACGTATTCCTGATGGCAGTGGTGGTTGTGGCAGTTGCTCAGTGCTGCAGAAAATTGGAAGATAATCTTAGTAGGCAAAGTGAGAAGGCCTAGCAACAGTGAAGCATTGAAAGATTTGAAAGTTGTACCACATCTGAATTACTGTGGTGCTCAGTCAAATTCTTTAGAGCAGAACCACAGCCAGAAGTGGTAGAAATATATTGATTTGCAGATGTGAAGGGGATTTCAGGAAACAAGTTCATGATTTAACATAATTATTTTCTGTACTAGGCAGTATATTTTTTCTGCCAAGAAAAGGACTCTCTCTACTGACAGTTGTAAGGTTATTATAATTAATGGTGGTATAGTGTCATTAGCCAATGGGATATACTTGAGAGAATAAATATTTTATTTAAAAGAAATAGAACTATGGCTTACTGATTTCACTGGTTAGTAGGTGTTCTTGAGGAGGCAAGTAAGATACTTAGACGGAGGTGCTTGTGGGTGCCTTCCAGCTTATCCACATGAATCTTCTCATCGATGCAAGAACATTTAGAGAACAACCAACAGCAGGCAAGTCTTCTCGTGAATGCTGGTTGTTGAGTAGAGAAATGTATTTGCTACCTGTATGATGTACAAAATTACCTGCACCCCGAGCAACAGATGAGTAATGTGAGTCTTTCATTTAGAACAGTCACATTTGCATTGTGTAATCCAGCCTCACTAGTTCACACTTTAATTTTGGTCTTGAAAGAATGCGGTGTCTACAAATTTATTTTCATTTATTGCTGTACCACTCGCATCCTGATATCATACCTGTATGTGCCTGTCGTTCATCATTCCATTTCTGAATACTGAAGTGCAGTTTATTTTTCCTATCCTAAAATCGTTGTTGCTGTCAACTCATACCGTCTTGGTGTTGTACTAGCCAGGTGAGGCAATGAAAGGACTGGGTCTGTTTCTTATGTTCAGGTAGTTCAGGATACGTCAAGTGCAGTTAGAAGCTTCTGCAAAGTACCAGCATTGGAATGGTTTCTTTGATTTGTAACCAGCTTCCTCATATCATCATAGTAATTTGGTGCTGATGGCCTCTTTCCCAGCAGTGGCTGTATGCTGTGTTCCTTTTGCTAGCCTCCAAACTCAAAGTCAAGATAGTTGGACCATCAAACATGCATTCTGCGAGCAATCTCATTCCCTCTTGGAAAAGGAAGCACAGCAAGCAGTTCTCAAATGTTGGTAAAATTCACCAGGAGAATCGGGTGATGGTGTAATGTTGAACACTTAATTTAACTTTTTCGAACAGAAGGTGAATGAATTTTGAGATTAAGTGCTTGTTTTACAACATGCCTTTTATTATTATGGATAATATTATCTTTGAGTTGTCCTTTATGGTGGGAGCTTCTCAAGTGACTTTTTACAGACAAACTTTCAATCACTTTACAGAAAGTGCTGCACTTAATCAGCTTGTATAAAAACTCCAGTTAGCTCTCCGTGTGGAGGGTCAGTCATCTTGCACTCAAGTTTCAGTGATCCTTGACTTAGAGATGAGTTCGGTCTTCTAATAAAAGGCTTGAAAGCTTGTCAGGTGTTTACAAGGATGTAACTTCTCTCACAAAGGTATGAGGCATGCTATGATACAGGAAGTGTCCCAGGGGTTTGGGAAAAGTACTGACACATATAATCTGCTGCATGTATACAGCCTAATATAATTCTGAAGCAATTGAACCAAATCTTTACATGAAATCCATATTAGAGAACTTTAGTAAAAAAGAAACTTTCATGCTGATAACTGTTGTGGGATTTTTAACTAACTGATGCTCATTTTCTCAACCTCTTGTTAAATAAATATTTTCATTCAAGGTCAGGGGGCATAGCAGAGCTGGCCTGTAAAAGGTTAAAGCTGAGGTAACGTTTTTAGATGGGTTAATAGTCTGTACACTCAGAGTGGGATGTAAGTGAAGTCCCTGATGCTTGTGTGTTTCTCTGTAGTTTCTTCTTGAGCATCTAAGATGGCAAATATCTCTCAGCTCCAGGAAGGTGTAGAAGAGCATGAAACTAAGTGGCATGTTTCTAGCAGTCTCCATGGGACCTCAATTTTCAAAGCCAGGAGGTGAATGTGAAAAAGACAACTATAGGTGTTTATATGCTGCTTTGATTGCCAGTTAACCTCAGTGAAAATATGATGCTTACTGACTTCCAGAGTAAATTCTTTCTTGCATTAAAGGGTTGGCTTGTCAGTGTTAGTTCTCCTAAGTATTATGGAGCCGAGCATATGATGTCGGGGCATCTGTATTGGCCTAGTAGAGAACTAGGGGTACCCAAGCCAGGCTGATAAATACTTGTTCCTAAGAGGTGTATAGATAGCTGAAACTGAAAGCTGATAATGAGGATGTGGAGTCTCTCCAGCGTAGATGCCTGATTACACTGGTTGCAGGTGAAATACCGTGAGTACCTGCAGAGTATTCATTGGCATTTAAATGTCAGATATATTTTTGGGACAGACTTAGTTTCATTTGGGGTACCAATCCAAGTTAGTCTTATTGCAGATGCTTTGAGAGTAATCTACTTAATATGGCCCTTATATCAACCAGCACTGTTGTCCTCTTAAAAATATTTCTGAATCCAGCACTTCAGGGAGCTGCCTTAGGGGGTGAATGGTAAATCTAACGGAAACAGGCAGGAGAGCTGTGTGAACACTACACAGAGCTTCTGAAAAGGTGAGTCAGTCCAACATGGATGCTTTCTTAGCACTGTTGTGTTTGCAGACTGTACTGTTAGTGCACCAGAGATACTCTGTGTGAGGTACTTCTAATGTGACATATTGACAGTATGTGCCTTTCAGGTTCTTCCTTAACCTAAGATCTTACCTTTTTTTTTTTTTTTCCCCCATTTTCTTTCTTCTCGCTTTGGAATTTTGAACAGAGCATTCTTACAGCAAGACAAGTCAAATTTTAGTTCATTATATTCCTTATGAGGTTAAGGGTAGAACATTAATTGAATTTCTAACCAAAACCACAGATAGCTTAATAGTGTTTTGAGAATTTATTGTTATTTGCAGCTTTGTTTCTGAATTGTAATAGGAATAGTACAGGAAGCGAGCTTGAAAGTAACTTTCTGAGATTTAGCATGCTTTTTCCCAACACAGTATACTGATGTGTTTACTATAGTGAATAGATAAAGTCTAGGCTTAGTGAGAATTGTCACCTGACTTCATGACACTGCCTATATCTCCTGTTCTTACTAGCTAAAGTTGGTTACTTGTTGGAAAAAAGGAAGTTAAGGACTGTCACAAATGAGCCACATCACTGAGGATTAAGGCATGACTTTTTTCTCTCTGCGAAATGGATAGACAAGGATCTATCCTGCATACAGTTCGGAGGGTGTAGTATGCAGAACAGTCTGCTTCATTAGATTTGAGACAGCCAGCATGGCTTTACCAAGGGCAAGTCCTGCATGACCAGCCTAGTGGCCTTCTGTCACAGAGTGGCTGTATCAGTGCACAGAGGAAGAGCTGTGGATGTTGTCTGTCTGGACTTCTGTAACACCTTTGATTCAGTCTCCCACAACATCCTCTGTAAGTTGGAGAGATAGGGATTTGATGGGTGGACTGTTCAGTGGATGAGGAACTGGTTGGATGATTGCATCTAGAGGTAGCGATCCGTGGCTCAATGTCCAGATGGAGACCAGTGACAAGTGTTCATCAGAGGATCTGTGCAGGGACCAGTGCTGTTTAATATCGTCTTCAGACATAGACAGTGGGATCAAGTGCACCACCAGGAATTTTGCAGGTGACACCGAGCTGAGTGGTGCAGTTGATGCAACAGAGGGAAGAGATGTCATACACAGGGATCTGGGCAAGCTTGAGAAGTGGGCAGGTGTGAACCTCGTGAGGTTCAACAACCCAGGTGCGAGGTCCTGCACTGGGGTCAGTGCGATTCCAAGCACAAATACAGGCTGGGCAGAGTATGGATTGATGGCAGCCCTGCAGAGGACTTGGAGGTATTGGTGAGTGAAAAGCTGGACATGAGCCTGCAGTGAACGCCAGCTTTATCCTGGGCTGCATCAAAAGCAGTGTGGCCGGGAGGTTGAGGAAGCTGATTATTTCTCTCTGCTCTGCTCTGGTGAGACCTCACCTGGAGTACTGTGTCCAGCTGTGGAGTTCTCAGCATAGGAAGGACATGAACGTGTTGGAGCAAGTCCAGAGGAGGGCCACAAAAGTGATCAGAGTAATGGAACACCTCTCCTGGGAAGAAAGTCTGAGGGGTTTGAGGTTGTTATAAGGAAGATGGGGACAGTCTTTTTAGAAGGGCCTGCTGTGACAGGATGAGGGATAATGGTTTTAAAGTAGAATAATAGATTCAGACTAGATAGAAGGAATAAATTTTTTTACAGTGAGGGTGGTGAAATACTGAAACCAGTTACCCAGAGAAGTGATAATACCCCATCCCTGGAAACATTCAGTATCAGGTTGGATGGAGCTCTGAGCAACCTGATGTAGTTGAAGATGTCCCTGCTTACTGCAGCAGGGTTGTACTACATGGCCTTTGAATGTCCCTTCTGACCAACTAGTCTATGATTTTGAGTCCTAATTATGAGCTCAGTTAAGAATGGGGGGGAGGGAGGCAGGGTGAACTTTGGTACACACTAGTTTTTGGTGTACTCATGAGAAAAGATGTGGTTTTGAAGAATATCTTTGAATAAATCAAAGCTTTTATGTGTCAGAAATATGATTTACCCAAAACATGGGTAGGAGATGTGTCGCTACATTGTCAGTCAGTTTTTAATATAGAAACTAAGTTGTGTAAGTTTATGGAATCCATGTTGTAGTTTGGGCAGGTTTTTTCCCAAATAGGTGAATTTCCTGGGTGCTTGCATGGAGTGGCTTCACTGTTTGGAGTAGACTTGTGGTAGATACACCTTGTGTCCAGCACTTACAAACTAATTCTTCCTTGCCACTTCTTAGTTTGTTTAGATTTTAAGAGAGAGGTGCATTTTTATTTTTAATTTTCCCCCCCACACTTAATCAAGAATTCTCTTAAATGTGTTGGATATGTCTGTCAAAGAGGATGGGAAAAATTCAGTACTCCAAGGAGAAATTCTTCAGAGGAATCTTGGTAGCACAGAATTTATTCTCATAACAGTTCCTTAGAATGGAAGCATATCAGCACTGAATTTTATGTTTGTATGTGAGGGTGGTGGTTCTGCATGCATGAGATGCTGGAGTGGAAGTTGCCAAAATCAAATCACATTGGGAACTAAACATCAATTTTAAGAAATCCTAGTAGATCATACTGTGGCTTTACCAGAGTGCTGCTTTCCTTTAGAGGGCAGAAAAAAACTTAAATCTCGTCTCTCAAGAGAAACCTCTTTTTAAAGTCAGAGCATATATGCTGAGACTGTGTGGTGGTAATGGACACTGAAAGGTTTTTTTTGTTGTTACCACAAGGTTAGAAGTGTTAAAATGAGTTGACAGAAATCTGTTGACTAATGAAGATTAAATGAAGTGTTGTGGTAAGTGAAGATACCTGTGTAAGAGAACTTAGAAAACGTGGAATAGGTTTTCAAAAGTAACTTGTGATTTGGAAGCTTGTAATCTATTGCACATGGATGGGAATGGAACAGAATCTTTAAGAGATTTGGAGAAGAGCTACATCACAGCAGCCTGAAAGTGATATTTTTTTTTTAAATGTTTTCCTGTTTTTACAGCTGCTGACACATGGGTTTTGATGATTAGGAGCTGAGGGAGGGAGGTATCACAGTGATATGGCAAGATTGACCAGGGGTTGATTCTTCAGCCTGCTCAAATTTGAGAATGAGGGGTGGTTATATAAGACTGGTGAAATTGAAACCAAAAGGAGGAGGTTTTTCACATGGATGACTGTGGGTCTGGAAAGCTTCTTGTCAGTGAATTTTGTAGGTGTAAGAAATTTATGGAGACTCAAAGGGAAGTTGAAGTACTTGGAAGAAATCCATGTAGACTAACAAATGGACAAATAGCTTAAGGCTCAGGAAGACGCCTGAAAATAGTTGAAGGATGAAGAACACTATGGAATGTCATGTTTTCTGTATTTTTTTGTGGAGACGGTACTAGGGGAAATTGTGTTATATTATGAAGGAGAAGGAAGAATCTGAGTGGGGGTACAGCAGAAGGGAGAGAAAAGCCAATGAGTGATCAAGGTCTTCACTTGTAAATATAAAATTAGAATAAAATCTAAGCAGTAATGAGAATAGGAAAAACACATTTGATTTGTTTTTGTTTTTTTCTTCTGTTTAATGTAAATGTGAATAAATAGGTATTAGCTGGAGGAATTAAAATTTCTAATTGTTGTTGTTTATCATTCTTTTTATTAGCAAAACCAAATAGGAAGCTGACATTCCTGTACTTGGCCAATGATGTGATACAGAACAGCAAAAGGAAAGGACCAGAATTTACAAAAGACTTTGCTCCAGTAATAGTGGAGGCTTTTAAGCATGTTTCAAGGTACAGTAAACTTGTGTGGTGTCCTTCATCAAACTGTGTGAGACTGGTATTCAGAGAATCTAGATCCTGAACTCATCTCTTCTGACTCAGCTAGTTCTTGTCTTGAAATCTTGATAATTTAATTCAGTGTTCTTTTGATCTTGCATAGTCTTAATGCTGTTGGATGAAGTTAGGTAGTAAGTTGTCTGCATTTGGTCCCTTTTACCTTAGAAAGCTGTTGGCTGTGCCTTAATTAAGGCTTGCTTTGAGTGCATGTTTACATGCTACAACAGTCTGGTACATTTCATTACTGGTGTTGAGTGATTTGTTTTCCCCCCAGCAGCCATTCATCTCCCATGAGGATGCTGGAGTCTTGATAGAGAGTTTTTTTCACACAGCTATTGAAGGAACACAAACCTATTTGCAGTGTTTGCATAAGAGGGTTACCCACCTCCAGGTTTATGGGCTGAGCAAGCAAACAGAAAGAGGGACTTGGGTCTTGGCCGTTTTTATGTGCTCTCTAAGACACCCTGAACTGGTCTTTGCTTTTTCTTTAAAACGTGATTTTCTTTTTTGAAATTGACTTCTGATACTTTGATATTGCTAAGGTATGCCAAGACCCTTCTGTGAAAGGTAATCATACAGGTAATCATACTTTTACCTAGTGCTGATTTGCTGATTTTTTTATTTTTTTTTTTTTTCTTTGTAACAGTGAGACTGATGAGAGTTGCAAAAAACACCTTGGTCGAGTGCTTTCTATCTGGGAAGAAAGGTCTGTTTATGAAAACGATGTATTAGAACAACTTAGGCAAGCTTTATGTAAGTATTTTGTGTGTGTATGAATATTCAGTCTCTTGTTTGAAATATTATTTTCCTGACTCCTCTGTTTTCTTTTAGATGGAGACAGAAAGGTGAGGAAGCGCACATATGAACAGATAAAAGTTGATGAAAATAACTGTTCACCTCGAAGTTCTCCCACTGACCCTCCACAGGTACAAGCATGTGTATAAAATTCTATATTACATATGGTTTGATGTAGAATTTTTCAGTTAGTCTCTTTCTTTTTTCAGTGAGTTACGGTTTTTGAGCAAGGGTGAGTACACCTGAAACTTTTCTTCACAGTACTTTAGGTTACAAGTGGAGCACGCTGTTTGGTTTGACACCAAACTTGAATGTCTGAGCTATATATCCAGCTTTGTCCACATCAGGATTTCAGCATTTGTTTCTACAATGTTTAAGGTTCACATTTGATTTCCAGGGTAGTTAATGTGTAACACAAGTATTAGAACAAGATTGTTGTCCACTTATCAATAAAATATTTCTCAATGTTGCAATCGTGACGGTTGGGAAGGGTTCTTTGTTACAGCTTTCATAATTCTTGTGGGTTTTTTGTTATGGTGCTGCCCCATCTCAAAAGGCTTTTTGTTACAGCAAGGAATGACTGTCCATGAATAACCAAAATTTAGTACGTTTCTCTGTAACAGACATCTGGGCTTTTACGACCATCAGCCCTACTCCCAAAAGAAGTGCACTGCTTAGTCTGATGCGATAGTGAAGCAAAACTACACGAAGAAAAATTTCAAAAATGTGTAGTAAAATTAAAGGTACTGTAAAATGATCACTGCTGTCAAAAAGAAAATATTTATAAGTAGTCCTATGCCAAGACTTTAAATGAAAAATCTATTTTAGGAAGGTGACCTTTAAAACCAGGAGCACTGCAGTGTTGTTCCAAGAATTAATGGCTTGGTTTTGTTTTAGTTTCAGTCTGATTGAGGAGGGAATGTTATAATGCTGATATCACAAATGCTGTTAAAATTACCATCAGCTTGATTCCACAAACTTATTGTAAAATACTGTTTTTTACTTGGTTCTATTTATGTAAACTAGTTCTCAATCTTGCATGCTTTTTTCAGACCACAGATCTCATTAGAGCATTACAAGAACTAGAAAACGCTGCCTCTGGGGATGCAGCAGTTCATCAGAGAATAGCTTCTTTGCCTATAGAGGTCCAAGATGTGTCCCTCTTAGACAGAATAACAGGTGAGGGTTGGGGAGTCCAGAAACTGAAATGTTGGTCTGAGAACTTGACAGTATACGATGAAGTCACACCTTCTTTCTCTCTGCTTGCTTTTTAGATAAGGAATCTGGAGAGCAACTTTCCAAAATGGTAGATGATGCATGTATGTTGCTGGCGGATTACAATGGCAGGTTGGCAGCTGAAATAGATGATAGAAAGCAGCTAACTCGAATGTTGTCGGACTTTCTCCGATGTCAAAAAGAGTTCCTTGCAGAGAAAGAGCATAAGCTGGAAGTGCGTAATGTTTTGTTTTAGTCTGTTCTTCACTAAAGCTTACTCTTGCAAATGTTTTTAGTTTGCCTAAACAACTTTTCTCTCCAAAGGTAAATATTCAATCACTACTGTTAGGTCTCTGCTTCCAGCACATTATTAACAAGATTTCCTTTGTTTCTAGTGTTCTAAATCTAGTAAACCAGCTCAACATTAGGTAATATTACAGCTGTAATCACTTCAGTGTTTGTCTTTCTGTTTTTTAGTCTATTGAGTCTTCACTATATGTACAGACTTAGTTTTAGTAGTGCAGATAGACAGTCTTATCCTGACTGGTGCAGACTTAATTCTTCATAGAGTAGTTTTTTTTTCTTGTTCTTTTCATTCAACAATTACATTGTTTAATAATGTCCTTTGAGTGAATAGAATGATCTTTCTGGTAGTCACAGATTTGTGAAGCCTCTCTAAAGGATAAGAATTTAATGTTTTCAGCACAACTTTTTAACCTTACTCAAGCATCCAGTAAAATGCAGTTTGAGCTTCTACAGCTTCTAACAGAGCTGGTTGCAGCACTAGCACTGTTAGGACAGGATAAATCATTAATAATAAAAGAAGGATGCAGAGTGAAAAGTTCATTATGAGTAAATGATCCCCTGAGTTATTCCATTCTTTGCTATTACCAGTTTATCTGTTTTCCTTTTCTGCTTTGTAATGCTGTGGAGCCTCCTTTTGAACATCCCACATGTTGTAAATGGGTCCATAATTTCATGTTCATTGCTTCCCAAATCCCTTGTCTCAGCTTTGAGACACAGATTCCAGTGATAACTTCAGTACTGCAGTAATAGAACTGAGGCTGCATCCTTTTGTGAGGACAGAGAGCTGAACACTTGTCGTGCCCTGTAACTGCAGCATATGCATATGTGGTGCACAAATTAACTCCTTTTCAGGTTTCATCATATAGGCTTATCAAGAACATTTTCTTCACTCTCTGGTTTCTTTGCCCTTTTATAACGTCATAACTTGAATTCAGATTTTATGGTGTCTTTGTTCAGGAAAATGCTGTTCATAATGTATTTGAAGTGTTTGTTCAGATCAGTTGTGTCATTCCTAGTTTACTCTTATTTCCTGATTTCTTTTGTTTACTCTGTGCCTCACAGAAAAGCAATTGATGAAGGTTTTTCCTATCAACTTCACTGTGTTTGTCCTGTGGGAAGACTATCAGCCAACTTCGTGTAAGATAGATGGTATGCACGGTAGTGGTGATTTTGGTAGCAACTGATCCAGCTGCACAGTGGAACCTGGAAGATGAAAGAACAGGAATCCTTAATCTTTTCATCACTGGCCCTGCCTTCCCTCCCATGTGTGTAATGTGTTTGAAGGGCAAATTCCCCCAGTACCAGTTTAGGACAAATTGTCTTAAGATACTCAACTTCTTACTGTAGATCATTACCAGCAATTAGACCCTGTTTAGGTCTCAGCAGACCACTGGGACAGCAAGTTGCTCAAAAGGCAGTGAAGAGTCCTTCAGACAGATTATACTTCTGTAAAACCAGGAGAGCTCTATTCATCAGAAATCACAAATAGAGTGTAATTTTGAACAGATTACACCCTTGTTGATTGTTTTGAACAAATACAAAACAATTTAATTTCCCAATATTACTAGATCAGAGTTCACAACTGTAAGAGAAATCAATTGCTTATTCCAAGTCTGCCATGGTCCTTAAACCCCAGCTTTCTTGGCTGAATTATTTAAACTGTTAAAGAATCTCATTCTAATACAGCACACTTTCATTTTTGGATTGGTTTCAACGGTTTTTAGAAAGCAGGAGACAGTCTTCAGTGTCTGTAGCAAGTCTGTTTTAAACAGATGATGTCCTAGGTTTTTAAGGTATATTGTAAGAATGTTTTTAGGCTGATTAGTGTGATGTACATATAGCAAATGCAGATTGCTAGCACAGCTGTGAGTTAAGATGGTGTCAACCCAGGGTACTAAGAAAGCTATGAGCCAAGAGTTTGTAAAGAAATAGAACCTTAAAATGAAGTTTCTAAACTTGTGTTAAGATGAATGAAGTGACTTTATGCTGACTAACAGAAATACCTTTTGGTCTGGGAAATGCAGGCTGGTAAACATTATGATGTTTTGAAATGTAAGGTTGGAATTTCTTCATGACACTGTATGACCAGATGAATTATTTTTTTTGGTTTTTTTTAATATTATTTTAAAGAAATTACTATCTTCTGATGCAAATACCTGTAGCCAGATGCATTTGTTTTCTGAACCAAGGACTCTGGTTTTACAGTCTTGGGAAATAACATACCTGAGATTGAGCCTTGCTGCTTGGCCCCTCATTTGAAATATGGAAAGGACCTGTCACCTGATTCTTAGAGAATGTATTTCCTGAACTGTCTATCCCAAGGTTTTCCCTCTCAAGTTTAATTTCTGGTGAAATGAAGTTTCTCTAGACTAGCTTGTTTCCTTTGTTAGACTTGTGACTATTTACTTTTTATTGAGTGTAACATTGTCTCTGGATTGTAACACATCAAGTCTACATTTCTTTCTGAATTAGTATCACCAGTCTGTGAATGTAGCCTTAGTCATTTGTCGAACACTCAGGTATGGTAAGAAGCAAGTGGTTGTATTCTTAATGGAATAGAATTAGAATGGAATTAGAAAAGTTACCTCCTGTTGACCTGGTTTAACAGTATTAGAATTTGAATTCCCAGAGAATTCTTGCTAACTTTAAACTTTAGATGGGAGCTTTAGACCTAAATTTGCAGATCTTTTATCTTGTGAAGAAAATTTACAGGTAAGTAACTTTGAATAACCAATTTTCCCATTAGTATTTTTTTAAGAGTAAGAGATTCTGCAATAGTTGTTTCTAAACAGAAGTGCTTGACTCCCATCAAAATCTAGGTAATGTATACTTTAAATCTGGACAGGAAATTTTGACAACAGATAAATAATATGAGCTATCATGTCTACTTCAAAAACTAACTGTACTTTTTAGTGGGTGACTTTCATAAGTCTACTCTAGGTAAGTGGTGTCATCTTTAATTCTTAAGTTATCTTTAACATCTGTCTAGCTTCTGTTGCAGGTGGTGGACATGGACCTACCTTCTAATGATGTCACCATCCGTTAGTACACAAATCCTGCTAAAAATAAATTTAAGAATCAAAATCTTGTATTTGTCTCTTGTTTTTGAAAACTGAAGAGGAGGAATTCTGTAACTACTTATGGCAAATCTCTGGTATTTTCATCTGTATTCTCACAAACATTCCTGAGTTTATGCCTGAGGTGGATAAGTATTTACCCAGTGTCATTCTTTTTTTTCTTGAAGACTAAAATTTTCACATGGTTGTTCCTAAAACTCACAAGTCATTTTGGTTAAATAATTTGAAAATCCAAATACAGAAATTTGGGGGTCACTTGCATTGAAGCTGCCATTATCAGACTGAAAGAGCTGTGAAATGAAGATTTTTATTTCAGATTTCTACTTTTTAACTTAGTAGCTATTAAGTTTACGTGAACATCAGAAATTAAAAGTGGTAGATGTAGGACTTGTCCTTCACAAGCACAATTAAGAACTTCCACTTTATTAATGTGGATCTATTTCACAGTTTATGTAGATAATAGATGATGTATTTTATAATTGCTCTTATGCCCCTTTAGGGCCCCCCCAAATTTTAGAATTTTCATGAAGGGTATTATTTTCCCTTCACTTTTGTAACTTTTAAGGTAGTATAGATATTTAAGGTTTAGTGTACTGTTACATGTGTGGAAACCTGTACAGGATTTACAAGTAGATGTGATTTTTTTGCTAGAGAAAATAGAAATTTTTGTGAAAAGATTTTTGTAGGAACCCTTTTTTTCTGAGCATTTCAAGGACAGATACAATTTCTTCTTTTCTACTACTTTGGCTGACTCTTCCCTATCTGCTTCTTTGTTGTGTCCCCCTTCTGCTTGTCCCCTAGTTTTTCAACAGAAATGTTGGTTATCTCTCTGAAGGCTGGTAAAAAGAGATTTTTGTTACACGGAATCAGAGAATGAAGTATATGTAAACTAACAGCCAGGCACACTCATCTCCTTTTCATAAAAGGCATTCTAGAATTAACACAGCCTTAAAATTACAAGATGTGAACAAGTGAAGTATTTGGTTTACTGTTTTTTCATGGTGTTTTGCATTTACCTCTTTCACAGTTGTTTTATACAGAGTAAATACTCTTACTAAAATTTCAAATAAAGACTTTAACAGTTTGAAACCTTGCACAACTTGTTAATGGGTGTGAGCAGAGGATCATTTGACCTTTTTATAGAAAACCAGGACAGCCTCCTCTCACCTTCATTTTGATATAATAGAAAAAACACAGCATTGCTACACTTGTGTATACTGAATGACTCCGTTTCTTACATAGTGTTCTATGAACTTACCACTTTAAATTGGGGAATAGCTTGTCACTAAATCCAAATTTTTATGGAGGAAATGCTACCCTGGGAGGCCTGCTGTGTTTTAGCAGCTTGCATTTAATTAAGGTACTCTGTTGATGATGTTGCTGTCTTGCATTCCTTATTTTCTACAGCTGTGTAAACAGTATTCATATCCTTGCACTCACACATCTGGCTATAATTAGTTGTGATTCCTTAGCATGTTGAAAGAATATTATGTTCAAGGCACTATTATTTCATGATTGAGCTTTATAGCTCAGTATGGCTGGACTTGTCTTCCTGAAGGGTTTAATTTTACCATAGGATTTTATGGCTGAACAGCAAGCAGTCAGTCATCCTAGTCTATAGCTCTGAGTCAAAGGCTTTTTTTTTTTTCCCCTTCTATGTTCAGTTACAGCTTAATGGTTGCAGATAGACAAAAATGTGCAGCAAAGAATTTAGGGATGGCAGTAGCATAACAGGCCTCTTGTCTTTAGGTTTTCAGTGCAGGGCTGGATTGCTACTATTGCCTACTGTTTCCCTCCACCATGTTTTTTTGTGTTACCACAGGGTGTAGTGCTTGCCTGGCTGTATTTTTCT